CCCCGCAGGCCGGTCATTTTCCAGGCCGCCTGAATTTGTTCCTATGCAAGGTGTCCTCTCTCCCTCTTAAAATATGTAATAAGTAAAATGATAATAACGCCCCGCACTCCCTCTCCTCCCCCCAAACGCGGGTCTGAACTGCGCCGGTCAATTGAAAAGACCCGCAAATGAGAGGGTCACCCGCGTGTGAAAGGCCCAGAACGGGCGGCTGGAGAGGGGCAGGTAGGCGGGTTCGAGGGTGCCGAGGCCCGGGCGGAGGGGCATCGGGGGATTCGGGTGCGACGCCTGAAAGCTACAGGGTTTGTTTGCGGGGAACGGGAAATGTTCCAAAACTGATTGCGATAATGGCTGCCCATGGAGGTTGTGAATATACTAAAACCTACGGAATCTCACCCTTTAAATGGGTAGATTGTATGAAATGTGAATTATCTCAGCAGTAAAGCTGTTACCAAGAAAAAAGTAGCACAACGGACCCCAATATTCACCACATTCCCAACTGCCTTTCATACCCCTACAGTTAGGAGGGCCTCATTTCTAGGTTTGATTTTTTTGCCCTCAGATGGCCAACATTTGCACATGTGCTTAAAAAGATATTGCTTATTGGATTTGTTAGTATTCGAAGGTTTTAGGACATTCACGTGTGAAGTTTCTTACTACGGTTTGGAACGTCTGTGGTAGTTCCCAGACTGTTGCACCTGCAAGTTGGGGCGAAGGCTTTTCAGTTCCCTATGGAACTACCCGATGGAAGTCAAGTCTGTGAGACTCTATTAAATTCTGCCCATCGTGAAAAATGTGTCGGTAGGATCTAATGTGTTAATCTTACTGTGTTAAGACAAAGGTCTCTCGGTCTGGGCGGTTCTTACGGCTATTTTTGCTAAATGTTAAAATGTAACAGTGTCTGGCAGACTCAGCTGTAACTGGATCAGCCTGACCGGAAACCAAGCCGAGGAGTTTAGGGACCCGCAAGAGGAAACCGACACGTCATTTACCAAACAGTGTGTGAACGTCAACCGTGGGATGTTAACCCCTCCACTACTTTGCTTGTCACAATAAAACTGCCTGAGGACGACCAGGTCTGGCTCTGGAACAGAGCACCCCAAGCGGTGAACGCCTTGAATTGGGTTATGTTATGTTTCAGTGAACAGCTTTCCTGTTGTTGACTTGCCCGTTTACTTCCTGCTTCATACGGTCTGCCCATTTAAGGGGTAACCCAATAATGAAATCGAAATTCTAAACTGAATAACAAGACTGGCAAATCGAACTTAAGGCAAACGCTTGCAAAACGTATAACTGAATTTGAAAGTCATTCAGAACGTAAGGATGGAGATGGGGAAACCCTCACGCACCCTTCCCCAGGCGGCAGCGTCCGGGGACTCGGCTCCGCTCGCGGCCCTGGGGCAGCGGGAGGGACCATCCGAGCGGAAGAGGATCGCGCTGGCCAGGAACTTTCATTCGGCGATGGCTGCACAGTGACCTCTCGGGCCACTCCCTGTCCCCGCCCGAAGCCGG